ACTGGCTTCCCCTGGCAAGCAAGGATGGATGCCTATGGAGATGGTTGCACAGCACCCCCTCCTGCCAGCAGCCCATGGGAGACCTCTTTGAGAGAGGTGGAGATTGTCTCCTTTGGGAATGTTCTCCAGCAAAGCCCTCTGTAGGTGCAGGTGTGCAGCCCTGCAAGGAGAGAGGCTGTCCTTAGAACTGCCCACGTAACGCTAATCTGTGTTACTTTTCATACTGGAGTAAGAGGTGAGAGCTGATGTGACAAAGATGATGTAAATGGGCTGAGCCAAAAGCCACCAGAGCCTCCTTCGCAGCAGCACATACTTACTCTGCAGAACCTCAGCTATGAGGTTCAAAGCAGCTCTCTGCCCAGTCACCTTTTTGGGCAGATTACTGATGCTGGTGAGGTTCTCACTGCCTGCTGTAAATGCAACATTAGTCAGCTAATGAGATCTCAGGATTGTCCTGCTTTTACAGTTCTTTGTGCACTCTGGAGTCAGTGGGTCAATACAGGGAACCCTCTTCCACAACTGAAGGATCTCACCAAAATCCTGTAAAACCTCCAGTTAATGAGAACTATAGCAACTAATTAAGCATGAGCATGGGCACCGTGATGTGCCACCATGGTGCACCACTAGCACCCTGTTCCCTACCTTATTTCAAGGTTCTTATGATCCTCCAGAGGACCGAGCCTGGCAACCTCCACAATGCCATTGCGAATGGGACCTTTAGGAACTCTGCGCTGTGACATTGACTAGTGAAAGACAGAATTTCAGGGCCAAATACTTCTCAGTCCTGTAGGGTCCACGTGAGCAGCAGTTACACACGGGCCAGTTGTACACAAGAGGCAAGGTTGTGCAGGCCCAGGCAGAGCCGCTGCAGGTGCACACTTGAAAGTGATAAAACCTAACAAAAAAATTCTACCTTCCAAGAAACAAGCAATTAGTTTTTACTGGCTTGACAATTCAACTGTGGTCAATCAGTCTTTGCAAGCTGGCTGCTGCTCATCTCCCAAAATCCACTTGTCCTTCAGTAATCATGATGGTGAAACCACCCTCCTCTGCCTGATTGTGCATTTTCTCACTATAATTAAATGTGACATGCAGCTGCAGTAAATACTTGTGTAGTCATAGCTCAAATACGGTAATCACCTAAAACCCAACTTCAGCAGGGAACATATATGAATTCTAGTCTAGTCTGTAGCTGGGCTGATATTTGTAATTTCATACAAATTCATTAAAGCCAGGAATTTAACCACGTAAGAACAAAAAAACTTAACCATACTTTTCATAGAAGAAGATAACTGCGTTATGCATAAAGTGAGGCAGCCTTGATAGGCCGTTTAAGAAATAATCTAATTGCCACTAGATGGCACATCTCAATTACTAATCTATGTTTGAATTTAGGGTTGCTTTGTTTTTTTTTTTTAAAAAAAAGACATTCCCTCTCTGATGCTAACATTAACACTTTATAATGTTTGCTTTCTATTTTGAAATCAGACAGCTTAAAAAAAAAAGGAAAAAAAGGAATTCTTAACTAAAAATACACCATCTGCCAGTGAAAATCTAGCTTGATTCTGTCACATCTACAACCAAACCAGGTTAATAACCAGCATCACAGATGGCTTCTTTATATAAATATGTACAACTCCCTATAGTGACTCTTTCAGCTGCTTCCCACAACTGCTGGCACGGCGTTACCTCATTTCCTAGGCGGTAGCTGTGCCTTACACTCAGCCTGGACATTATGCAGCTGGAACGGATTTCAGAAGATGCCTGTGGCTGTTTCCAATACCAACAAGGGATGCAGCGGTGGACGGCCATGACTCTACCAAAGAAGAGCAACAGATGGATATTAATACATTCTCGTGCAGCTGGTCTTTTCCTCAGATGATCAAATCTGCTGATGAGTTCCTTTAACTTCCCCAAATCCCTGCATAACGCTACATACCAAATATCACGGTGACCTCAATACGATAGCATAGTGCTGTAGTCAGAGCAATAAAGGTGGAATTTGATCTTTCTGCAGCATTCAACAGTATGAATTGCCAGAAACTACTAAAATACAAACAACAAAACCATTGTGGGGTGCCATGCTCATTCTCCCTTGTTAGTTACGTATCAGGGTCTCTGCAATCAGAAGTGGTTATTTCCTAACTTTCATTATGTCCAAACTCACTTGAGATGAACACTTGAGATGGATTCTGTTCTTCTATTACCAGCAGTGAAATGTGTTTCAGATCAAACTGCAAACCTATTGCTACCACTTTGAAAATAGGTCCCTGCCACCTTCCAAGGAGTTCCACATGTTAAACAATGATACAGAGAACAAACAGAATTCAATTAATTTCTTCCTGGTTCTACTTCAGTCAACAGAAAACCTATGGAAGTTAAATTTATCATAATGACTAAGAGAATGCTGCATTACAGCAGAGCATAAAGCATAAGGCTTCTCAGGAGCTCAGCCACAGTGGGGTTTAATGTAAGCTAGACTGGTCCATGCAGAACTCTGAAATACTCAGACCTGATTTCTGTTGTTATCCATATGACATGTGCCCCCTTTACACCACAGTGAAGGCTAGAAGATCGTAGTTCTAACCAGTTTATCATTCCTAAGGGTATAATAAAAAGCATTTGAAAGAATACCCTAAGAAATACAGTAACATATGAGAGCACAAGATGGGACCCGCATAATCTAAGCTCCATTCATGTCTATTACACTGTAAGAGTGATAAAATAAATTCAGTACCTACGAACGGGAGTCACGATATTGATGTCTGAAATCACTCTGAAACTTGTAATGACTTCTTTAAATACTGGATACTAATATAAATCAACTGAAACCAACATCTTTCCTTTGGCCTGCTTTACAGTCAGATGTCAACTTCTTTCATGTTTGGGTTTGAACAGCTGATTCTAAGATGACAGCCTGCATCCTACAGTATCATTCAATCATCTGCTGCTGTTAGCAGTGTGTTATTTTGGAAAGAGTAAATTTAATTCGTGAAATAACCAGAAAGCTGCAAATAAAAAATAATCGCATTCATAAAAATAGTATTTTAAAATGGATATACAGAATATGTGAGGTCTTAAAAAGCCAGTTGTAGTGTGTGTAATCAGTCAGTGAAACCGAAAACACACTGATTTCAGGCTCAGCATTATGAAACTATGACAGGGTAAGGAGTGCCCACTTACCATCACTTCCATCTGTCTTCCACGTCACTGAAAAAGCATTTTCGAATAATGTGAAGAACAATCACTGCCCTGCACTACAGGCAGGAAAGTACACTGAATTTACTAATGGCAAATGGTACCTGCAGAAGTAAATTAAGCAAATGTATGACAGCAACTTCTGAGTTTAAAACTTCACCATTTAAAACTCAACTTTTAGAAATCTCACCACACACAGAGATATATGTATCTTTATTTTAGGGGAAAAATGAAATTAGCAGAGCAGTTTCACTTGTTTTTACATATAAAAGAAGACACAGCTGCACATTTTTCTACTGACAAATTTGTCTTACAAGTATCTCGAAACAAACAGTGAACAACTGGTTGGGATATTGAGCAAAATTACATTTGGAGCTTACAGTATTAACTGCAGCTGGCACATCCCACACCCCACACCACCACCACCACTGCTGCCAACTGCTGGTTGTCCCGTAAAAGTCTGGCTTCTTCCTCAAATTTCAGTACTCGGTTCTTAAAGAGTTCATTTACTTTAAAGCAAAACACAGGCCGCTATGATGCTTCTTATGAATATTTTCATGAAAACAGGACCAGCTGTTCAGATTCAGTCAAGAAACCAATGCTGAAATGACAACCCTAATCCTGGGGATAGTATAAAGATGGCAGACTAAGCGCCCTTTTTAAAAATTTTTTTAAAAGAGTATTCTTGCCCTGCCTTCCCATTCTAGGACACCAGGAACTACTAATTATGCAGTTTGTTTACCGGTTGCTTTAAACCTTGTTTAGGCATTGGCTTCACTTCTTACAGAAAGGAATAAATAACTCAAGGATTACAATTAAAATGCAACAAAGAGTAAAGTAAGGATTGAGATCTTTGAGTTCACAGTAGAATAACATACTTTCTTGTAACTTTCCTTTGCAGGACTGAAACAGACAGTAGGTAAAATTCTTCAAAGTGCCCTAGCTACTTTGGCACCTACGTGTCATTCACAGATGAAATTTAAAGCACTTACACAAACAGGATTAAATCTCCTAAATAAAACAAAATTACTTTGAGAATTTTAACTAGTGACACATTAGAATAAGAGAAGTGCAATTTCCTTCAGTGATTTTGAATTCAGTCCTAGTGCAGAGTAATTCAAAATTATATAGCAAGTCAGTGTCAGGAGAACGCAGTAATCTAATACTATCCTTACGAAAAAAAAACCCAAACCCCAAACCCCAACCCCAAAACAATACTTAGATCTGCCTATATTCATAATTAGTACTGACGACTAATAATTGCTATGTTGAAGAATCACAATTGTAGAGTAAAATTCATTACATTGTAAAAAGCCTGCTCTTGAAAGGTTTATTCTCCATATTGTATCTCTGCTCTTAGCTCTTTGGAGAGGTAATTTATTAGCACTGCTGTCAACTTCTGCTGGAGACTAGCATTTCCCATTACAAGAGCAGTCAGCTGAGCAATATCAGTCCAGTCTAAGCGCCTGAGAATAACAATGGCTTCATCATAGAGTTTCTGCTGCTCAGCAGGAGGCAATTCCAGTAAAATCTGAGGGACCGGCCTGAACTGTCCACTTGTCATCCAGGCACCAAGCAATCCACCAAATGCTCCTCCTAGGAAAGAGAGAGATGTTACTCTACCAGTTAATGTTACAACCCAAAATTCTATCCACAGCCTTCATCAACAATGTTCCCACCCTTATTAGAAATCAATGCAGAGTTGCCTATGTGTCCACTTTAACTAGGTTTATACACAACGTTTGAAGCACGAGGAAGGATTTTTTAAGCTTTTTACATCCACAGCAATCACAAAAGAACTCTATACAATCAAAGCTAACAGCTTCAAGCTAGAAATCAGAAACAAAACAACATTCCTTAGGGCACTGGTCTCTTTAGGATAAACTCTACTACTAAATAAAACCATGCCCAAGGAAAACATCTGGCCAACAACTGACTTATCAGTGCCATTAACACCTAATCTCTTACTAGAGACTCCCAGACTCATCCAAGCTTCCTGCTTCTGTAGAGCCACACACTGCAGCCCCTAATCCCATTAAATCCATCCCTCAGAAGGTGCTCAGAGAGACCAAACTCATCAGCCTCGTGGGGTTAGACACATTCATGCTATCATCTACCAAATCACCACACCACCCACTCCACCTGGACAAGAAATGCTCTGGTAAGCACAGTGGTTCCAGGTCATCAAGATAACAGCAGAGGGATCCTCTACAGCTGATGTGACTGTGGCTGCTGCTGAGCAACCATCCTTGCACTCCTACACGGTGGGTCTCTGTCAAAGAGTTACCAGTCTAACTTGCAACACAGCTTCACCGGCAGCAGGTCACACGACTGACACCGCTGCCCAGACACAGACATCCTGGAGGAAGGAAGGAGAACCCTCACAATGGAGCGATGTCAGAACTGACCCTGCCTCCTAAATTCCCACCCTCAGCGACTACTCCTAAAAAGTCATTTATGCACTCACAGGGATGCAGTTTTTCATTAGACAAAAATCCTGTCATTTGCAGCTTTTAGTCAGTTGGCAATTTTTCCCAGGATACCACAGAAATACTTGAAAGCCTACGATGGCTGAATTCATCTTCAAGGAACTTTTATGAGAACATCAATATCTGATTTAGGGGCACTTAATGCAAAAGCCACTAGGAATACTGATGTCTAAGTTCCTTGTCTATTGAGACAAGATTTCTTACATGATCACACTTTTTCCCCCCAAGCTGTATCCACAATCCATTCTTCTCAGAGCAAGCAGTCCTCAGAAAGCAGGATACAGTTCAAGTTTCCCCGGTGACTGCTCCAGATGGGACGTGATTCACCCTCTAATTCTTGGTGCAAGGCAGCACTAAGGAAAATCCCTGCTACCCAGTCCCACACCTCCAGGCTGTTTGTGTAAGTGAAAAAGCACTTGATTGCAAACACCACCTTAACTGTCCTAAAACCCACTAAAGACTCAGGTCATTTGCAATTTTAAAAGTTAAACGAGGGTCTTCTGATTTAGTTGCACTATAATGGGGACACAGCTTTTTGTATACTTAGTACTGATTATTCTTATTATATATACTTATTATTGTATACTTTTGGTAAACAGTAATGGGTATACTTCTTCCAGTGCCTTTACCAGTGGTTGAAGAACACAAGCTTGACTGGGAGACATTATGAAAACTTAAACACTTAAGCAAAATGAGAAAGCACATCAAAGAACAACTTCAGTGTGTCTCATCATCTCACTCAAGAACGAGGCCACTTACATTTTTACTTTTACTTCTGATTTACAGCTTACAGATTTCTTACAAAAGCTTAATTTCACTCCTTTGTTCCAGATAACTTCAGTCATATGTTCGTCAAAATACTATGTTTGGCTATTAACTAAGCTCTGTACTTGTAACAGGAGTAAATACACAACTTCGTTTCGCATTTTCTTTTATCACTCTTCATATTATTTGCTTATTTTTTGTAATTCGACCTTGGAAATCCTCATGCAGGTATAGTGCAATTCACTCCAACACCAGCAAGCCCATGAAATTGCTGGAACTGCTTGCAGGAGTAAGGAGCATTCAAGGACCAAGGCTGACCTTGACTTCAGTGACAAGGCAGCTTTCAAACCAGACAACTCTTAATTCTAGAGATACAGAGGAGAGACAACTCTCTACTAACAGACTGGCATTCCTTAATTTTCCATATAAGGAAAAAAAGCAAAGTGGCAGGGAATAACTAATTCCAGAGGAAAAAAAACCAAGTTCACCAAGAAGCGGATAACAGGTACAGAAATAAACAGCGTTTTTAATATGATCACTAGGCAGATGATCCTGTCCCGTGCTAAGGCTAAGAGTACTTATTCACCCTTGCTTTACATCCCAATCTTCTTTCTGTGCTACCAGGTACCAACATCCCTGCTGACTGCCCCCATCGTCTCTTGTGCTCCTTCGCCCCTGCCTCAGCCCTCTCCTTTTCACTCCCCCACCACAGCGCCGCAGCAGAGCCTGCACTAACAAGCTCAGAGCCTGTTAGTCTGCTCTCTGTTTCGTCCCACACCTTGGACACTGGTGTACCTCAGCAGATGGGAACCAGGGCTCTTCCCACCAAAAGCAAACTATTTGTTAACAGCTTGTTCAAAGGGTTTCAAAGGCACCACTATCTCAGCCTCAGACCTCTGGATAGCTTCCCATTTGCCACACATTGTCAAAATGAGCAAGGTCACTATCACCCTAGAAGGAAACACTGACACATGCCTTCCTGACACACACCTCGTTTCTAAAAAGCCAACATATAAAATGCCATCTTGTTAAAACCCAGTTACATGAAACCTCAACCCTGCACATCCCTTTCTTTCAACCCATACCTACTACACAGACTTCCTAGTTTCTTCACTCGGGGAGTTAACCACAATTCTTGCTCCTAAAACAAAACACACTTACCTACAGCGATTCCAGGCGGACCTCCCACTAGACCCCCAATGAATGCTGTTGCACCCGCCAGCAGTGCTCCTCGACCAGAGTGTTTGACAGCAGCTTTCATCCCCTTCTCCTGAGAGAGATGGCAGAACAGTTGCATCACATCATCAACATTGATGGGCATCTTGGCCAGTTAAGATCCTGGAAAAGACGTTTTAAGTTATCTTTTGATTACTGCAACAGGGACTAAATCTCGCTGCTACACAAATTCTAGGTAAAACCAGAGTTTTTTCACAAGTCTGAGACTAAAAGGACAGAGACACGGTCAATGCAGGAAAAAAAAAAAAAAAAAATCACTTTCATTTCCGGGAAAACCAAACCTATTTGTAAACAGCTAAATATTACTAAAACTGGAGATGAAACCACAGAGTAGACAAGAAAAATCTGGTTTTATGACAAAATCAGAAAACCAAACAAGGACAGGTACCAGCAATGACAGACTTAAGAAAGTTTCTATCTAATTCTACAGTACATTGCCTTTGCCTCAAGCAATTGCCACGTGCATTCAGCCTCACACACAGCTCCGGAAAAAAAGACAAAGCAGAATCTCACTCTACCACAACTAGCAAATTATAATTGACAAATCTGTCAGGTATTTTCTCCTTGCCCTAATTGTTGCCACAAATCAGTTGTTTGTTTTCACATATCAGTTCTTCCCCACATTTTGTTACACCCCTAAATGCTTCCACACTGATTTCTGGAGGTGGGAGGCTGTGTATAGCAATCAGGAAGAGCCTGAGATAGGGAAGATATTTCAGAAGGAGTCGGAGGAGAGACCTGGGACTGGGAATAAATGGGAAGCTCTGGAGACAGGGCATCAGAAATGCAGGGGTGTATGTCGGGACTCAGAGCAGACATGCAAGATGACTCTCGTGTATGAGGAGGCAGGAACCTCAGCCCCCTTACACGCAGTGACAAGACCCCAACAAGGGGCAGATACCTGGCCCTGAGAACAATCCCTCTGAGACCAAACCTTTTCTACCTCGTTCACTTGCTGGTGCTGCCAATCTACGCCCGCTCATTTCTGTAAAGGCCCACAGAGAGCGTGGCTACCCATCACCGCTGCCATGGCCATGCAGGGCATACCTGGGTGAAGGTTCCAGCCCCCAATCCTGCAAACATGGGAAGCTACGCTACTGCATTGAACACAACTCTGAGAAAAGGCACATGAATGTGACCTAGTTAAAAAAAAAACAAACCACAAACCTAACACAGGACACCTTTTTGGATTTTCTGCATATTAAATATTCTTTCCCCCAGGCTGCTTGCCTTGGCACAGTGGGTAAGTCAGGAGGCATAACAGAAGCAAACACGTGCCCCAGAGTTGCAGGCGCCAGCAAGTGTAGTAAGCAAGGAAAGAGGCTGCATGAAGAAACCGCACGGCTTCTCTGCTTTAAAAAAGAAAAGATTCTGTCTGAGGAAAAAGATTTTACCCCTTATTTTGCATCTAATGTTTGCTTGCTGTTAAGTCAGTCACTTGAATCAAACTTTTTAGAAATGGTTACTATGCTTTAACTTTTCCAGGCACCCATCCTGCAACCTCAGAGATATTTGCAAAAATGCTGACCCCTTAAAATAACAACTGAATTCAAATGCAGCTCTGCTCAAGTACAGTGTTACACAATGCCAAGCACTGATAAATCCATCTTTGGCTTTCGGTTTGGCAAAACAAGTGGATGCTTTTGACTTCAACAACTATTTTAATGATAGAATAGCGATACTAAAAATATCCTCGTGTCATGTTGCAAAAATAGGTGCAATACGAATGAAAGACATTGATTCAGACCAATGAGATCAGAGGAAAATCCATAAAATGAAATTAAGAAACTCCAACCCCATAGCAGAGCTGGAGTAGTGGTCAGTAAAAAAGGCCCAAGGACTTAGCACTGAACAGTAAGGAAAAGCTTGCTCATTAAGCAAATACCTTCCATTCTGCCTGCCAATTGAGGAAAGGGCTTGCAGGGAGAAAAAAGTATTCAATACAGTTGAAAATACAATCACATACACACAGAAGGCAGAATTATTGTTGTACGTGTGACGCTAGCACTACTGAACAGACGAGTTCAGTTTTCCAGCCTCTAGAACACTTTTTATCCCAGTGCGTGTGCAATACTTTCTCAGCCCAAGGGAACTTGTCTTCAAGTCTTTAACAGATCTCCTCAGTGCAAAGTGAAAGTGGAGTGGTATCACACAATTTTTCATATTAAAAATTAACTACTGTGAAAGCTTTCTCTTGCACTAAAATGGCTGACTCCAAATTGTCTGTGACTGCAGCATCCAAGCACTGTTGACACTAAACAAAAATGTTTTTTTGTGAAGGGACCACACACACTCCATAGCTGCAGAAAGGCACAGTAGGAAATTCATCAAATAGTTGAATTACTCTCACTACTTCATTCCTCTTCATGCCAGTCTAAAGAAAATATCAAAGTTTTTCATTTTACCACTGCTGCTCTTGGGTTTTTGGCAGGCTTATGACACAGCAGTGTTTCAGAATGTCAATGTGTGCTGGTTAGCGACAGCAGAGTGATACATTCTGCTTCCAGAGTTATGTATTATCTCATTCAACATGATTCGAGCTCAAACTAATAAACAAATGGCTGCTCCGTTTGTCCTAGAGCAACCAACGAACCAACCAACCAAATATACAACTGGTACAGATCACATTGCCAAGCCTGGTAATGTTGGAAAATGAGAAGATTAAGTATTTGTTTTTACCTTCTTAACAAAAAGTGAGCAGACTGCCACTCTGAGTAACGTCCACACCAGCACCAAGAAGCCTTAAGTGCTGCAGGATACAGTTCCTCCCCTCAGCAAGACAGGAACCAATTTGTGCTTGTCCTACACCTCCTTAGCATGACCTCGGACTAACCCAACTGCCTGAGTGCTGAAATGAATTTGCTTCTTCTCTTTAGGCTAAATCCTGCAAACATTTTGTGCAAAGTTCTTCAGTATGAAGGCTCTGCAGCATGGACAGGACAGCACAAGGTGGAGAGCTGACAACACAACCCGGCTTTCGCTGGGAGTAATATAATCTGCTTTCCCCTAATCAAACTAACTGACTTCCAGGATTTCTTGAACCAACCTAATTGCAATACATGTAAAATGATGTTTTGTGAGCAAAGAAACCCAAAGCTGAAGCACCAGGTTCCTGCATTGCACAGAAGCTGGCTGTCCACAGAAAGCCACCGGCGCTACCCTATCCACCACACTGCCAGTACTAGGGCGTTTCCTTACAGTGACGTGGCATCTCAAGCAGTGCAAAGGGATCAGCTACTCTGGGGCTTCTCTGAATAAATAAAAAACTCTTTCACAACTAGATTCAAAGTGCAATTGGCTTAAGAGTGAAAAAAAACAGTCCATAATGAAAACAGGAATCACACTGCTATCTGGTGGTGTACAGAGTGTGGTGAACATGCAATTCATAATAATCTATTAGTCTCAAGGTAAAGCAGAAACGTACTGGAACTCAAGCATTTTTAGGTATTTTTTCCACAGTAAATTATTTTACTGCTTTACTCCCCTCACAACTTCCCCAAAGGGAATTTCCACTCACAAAATTAACACT